CAGGTTGTTCATATCATATGTGTCCCAATAAGGACTGGTTTTCAACATATGAATCAACTGAAGGTGGAGTTGTCTTAATGGGCAACAACGCTGTTTGTAAAGTTGTTGGCAAAGACACAATCTAGATTAAAATGTACGATAGTATTGTGAGGACGCTCACAAATGTTAGACATGTTCCAGATTTGAAGAAAAATCTCATCTCTTTGGGCACTCTTGAGTCTATCGGGTGCAGGTATTCAGGTGGAGATGGAGTTCTCAAAATCACTCGAGGAGCTCTTGTTGTTATGAAGGCACACAGATCTGGCACTTTGTATATTTTACAGGGATCTACTGTAGTAGGTGCTGCTGCTGTTTCAACAGCATCTTTGTCAGATACAAACATCACTAAATTATAGCATATGCGTTTGGGGCATATGGACGAAAAAGGCTTGGGCATACTGAGCAAAAAAGGATTTCTTTGTGGACAAAGTACCGGGCCATTGGAATTCTGTGAACATTATATTTTTGGAAAGCAGAAAAGAGTCAGTTTCAGTTTACCAGCAACTCACAAGACAAAAGGTACTCTTGATTACATTCATTCAGATCTATGGGATCCTTCTCGTGCTCCTTCTAAAGGTGGTGCCAGGTACATGTTGACTTTCATTGATGACTATTCAAGAAAAGTTTGGGTCTATTTTCTTAAGTATAAAAATGATGTTTTCCTAACTTTCAAGCAATGGAAAGTTTTGATTGAGAAACAAGCAGGAAAACATGTTAAGCGGTTGAGAACAGATAATGGCATGGAATTTTGTGAAGGTGAATTTAATGAATTTTGCAAAAATGAAGGAATTGTTCGGCATCACACCGTCAGGATGACGTCTCAACAAAATGGTGTGGCTGAACGTATGAACAGAACGCTTTTGGAGAGAGCAAGATGTATGATCTCCAATGCAGGGTTGACAAACGACTTTTGGGCAGATGCGATCAATATGGCCTGTTATATTATCAGCCGTTCTCCTTCTGCATCTCTTGATTTCAAAACTCCTGAGGAAGTTTGGTCAGGTACTCCTGCTGATTACTCCAATTTAAAAGTTTTTGGGTGTCCAGCATATATGCACGTGAATGACAAAAAATTGGAGCCTATGGCTAAAAAGTGCATTTTTCTTGGGTATGCTTCTGGGGTGAAAGGATACAGATTATGGTGTCCTGATCCCAAATCTCCAAAATTTGTATTCAGTAGAGATGTTATTTTTGATAAATTATCTATGTTATCTTCCAAGAAGGAGTCTTCTAGTTCTTGTACTACTGATAGTACACAGAAGCAGGTGGAGTTTGATATTGGCAGTTCTGGTCCGTCTCAATTCAAATCTTCTATTCAGCAAGTGCCAGTAGATGCACTTGAATCTACTGTTGAAGATAGTTGAGAAGAAGATGAGTATTCCATAGCCAGAGATAGACAAAGGAGAGACATTCGACCACCACAAAGATATGCAAATTTAGTTGCATATGCTTTGTCTGTTGCAGAAGAAACTGATGCAGATGGTGAGCCTTCCACCTATTCAGAAGCAGTTTCTTGTGATGATTCTGCAAAGTGGTTAATTGCGATGAATGAAGAAATTGAATCTCTTCATCAAAATGAAACTTGGGTTCTTGTAAAGCCGTCGTCAACTAAGAAAATTGTTGGTTGCAAGTGGGTCTTCAAGAAAAAGGAAGGTATTCCAGGGGTTGAAGATGCAAGGTATAAAGCACGATTGGTTGCAAAGGGCTATAGTCAGGTACAAGGTGTTGATTTTAATGATGTATTCTCACCTATTGTTAAACATAGCTCTATTCGTGTTTTGCTTGCTTTAGTTGCCATGTATGATTTGGAGTTAGAGCAGCTTGATGTTAAAACAGCTTTTTTGCATGGTGAACTTGAAGAACAAATTTATATAAAACAACCCCAGGGTTTTGAAATTGAAGATAAGGAAGACCATGTTTGCTTATTGAAGAAATCCTTATATGGATTGAAGCAGTCTCCAAGACAGTGGTATAAGAGGTTTGATTCCTTTATGTTGGGTCATGGTTATTCAAGGAACATGTATGATAGTTGTGTTTACTTCCGGAAGTTAAATGATGGTTCTTTCATTTATTTGCTGCTTTATGTTGATGACATGCTTATTGCTACCAAGAATTTGTCAGAAATTCACACTTTGAAACTGCAGTTAAATAGTGAATTTGAAATGAAAGATTTGGGAGCAGCTAAGGAAATTCTTGGCATGGATATTAAGCGAGATCAAGGAGTAGAAAAGTTGTTCTTGACTCAGAAAAATTACCTTGAGAAAGTCTTGGAGCGTTTTGGCATGAAAGATGCTAAACCAGTATCTACTCCTCTTGCTAGCCATTTTCGGTTATCTGCTGCTCAATCACCAAAATCAGATGAAGAGGAAGATTATATGGCACTGGTTCCTTATTCCAGTGGAGTCGGCAGTGTTATGTATGCAATGATTTGTACTCGTCCAGATATCTCACAAGCAGTCAGTGTTGTTAGCAGATATATGTCTTACCCCGGTAAAGCACATTGGCAGGCTGTGAAGTGGATTCTCAGATACTTGCGAGGTACTTCAAATGCATGTTTGGAGTTTGGAAAAAATAATAACACTTTAATTGGTTTTGTAGACTCAGACTACGCTGGGGATCTTGACAGGTGAAGATCGCTTTCAGGCTATGTATTTTGCATTGGCGGTTGTACTGTTAGTTGGAAAGCTACTCTACAACCTGTCGTAGCTTTGTCTACTACAGAAGCAGAATATATGGCTGTGACCGAGGCAATCAAAGAAGCCTTGTGGTTGAAGAGTTTATTTAGCGAGCTAAGTCTATATCAAGGTGTTATTGATATTCACTGTGATAGTCAAAGTGCCATACACTTGACTAAAGATCAGATGTATCATGAGAGGACGAAACATATTGATGTGAAGTATCATTTCATTCGGGATATCATTGCTGAAGAAAAGATCCTTATTCAGAAAATCAATACCAAGGACAATCCAGCTGACATGTTTACGAAACCTCTTCCAGTTTACAAATTCAAGCAGTGTTTGGATTTGGTTGGTGTTCATTGTTGGTGATTTATGCCCATGAGGCTTATGTGGAGAAGGTGGAGCAATTTTACTATTGTCGATAGTGGAACTAAAATTTTGCCAAGGTGGAGATTTGTTGAATTGTCAAGCATTGCGGCTTGACTTGTGTGGCAAACATTTCCGTCCCACATCGATGGCAGCCAAGGAAAGCCTTTTGTTGTTTTCCTATAAATAGGGAAGAGTATGAAGGTTTAAGGTGTACCACTCAAGAGAGTTATATGGGTTATTAGCTTCTTGAGTCATATAGCCCATTTGTAGTCAAATATTTTAGACTCTCTTGTTTTGTGTTTAGGAATATTTTCTAAACCTTGTATAAGTGCCGTTTGGCCTAAGAACCACTTTTCTACGGTTTTTGTATTTCTTCTTCATAGTAGAAATATTACTTCTCCCTCGCCCGTGGATGTAGGTCAATTTGACCGAACCACGTAAATCTTCTGTGTCTTTTATTTGCTTTGTTATCTGTCTTTATATGGTCGGTTTTACCGCCTAATTATTATATGGCTGGTATCTACCGCCTATCTATTATATGGTCGGTTATACCGTCTACTTTGTTCTAACTTGAATTTGTCTATTTCCGGGGCCGGTCCTAACATGATATAACACTGAAATAACAGCAAGTAGCACTAGAACAATATTTTGTGGGTCTCACACATGTTAAAATCTGGACCTTACAAATTTTGTTGGCCAAATCTTGGCCATTAACCGTCCCTGCCCCTTCTCCTCTCCAGATGGCCCTGGACGTCAATCTTGTACCTGACAGCCCATATGATCCCGAGAGAGCACAACAGGGAACACAAAGATGGGATCCAAGACCTGTGGCAGAAGGAGGCCCGGCCTGTAGAGGAGGCAGCGCTGAAGAGGAGGATGAGGGCTGTGGAATGGAAGAGGAAGAAGAAACAGTTGAGTTGGGAGATTTCTTTGCAGACGGAGTCGATTTAAGTCTCCTTGAGGGCTATTTTGTTGACGATTAGCTCTTCTTCCTTGAGCCATTGCTTGAGGAGAAGCTTTGTGAGTCGGGGTCTTGGCTATCTGGTGGAGCGGGATGAAGGGGCTTCGACTCCATGATCTGTTCTTCTTTAAATTGTTTTCATTATTTATGGCCGTTTGTATGTGTCGCTCTATTAATCTAAGGGCAAACTTGTAAATAATGATGATGGGCAATCCAACGCTAGAATTTTCAATTGGATAGCCGACTTTGGAAAGTCATTCCGAAGGGCAATCCAATGCTATGATTTTGGGCAGATTTGAGATTTTAGCCCATGTCCTATTGTCTTGTCAGGTATTGGTTCTTACAATTTGATTTTGCATATTTCGCCTTTGTAGATTTCATAGATTGGATATGTTTTAAAGTATCCACATCACCCCTATGATCTTTTATGTGAACTGAAAACTTGATACAGTAAATAACCTCTATAACATTGCTAGTTGAAATACTAATATTGCCTAAGTACGAGATTGAATAACAGCATGACCACCTCTAATCTCTTTATACTTTGTTCTTATGCATTTTACAATCATCAAAGTTCGAGAAATTTACTCTCCTGGCATTCATTTCATTAGTTAATTGAATCATTTATGGTTTTTCTTTGTCTCTCGTGAACCAGGCAACTGAGTATTGATTATTGACCAAGCGAATTCCTCACAGCTAAGTCTGGAATGATGTCAATTACAAAAAGAATACATGTTTTAATAGTTGGTGTTTAAGTAATTCATCACTGTCAATTGTCAAACACGATTTTAAGTTGCATCTATTACCATTAGCAACTGCAGATTTAGTTCTGCTTAACATGTCATTACTTAGGCAGCTGCGCACGAATCTGACTTCGAGCAAGTGAAGCCCTATGCGGACAAGTGTGACTGCTGAGTTTTTGTTCATTTGTAAATGACTTCAAACAAGAAAACTTAACAATGCTTGCTTAGAATTTACGATCAGGTTTGAGGCATTTATGAACACCACATGATACAGTAAATGCAGAAGGGACAAACTGCTCCATACAACTGTTGTTCACTCCAGAAGGAGTACATGAGAACTATCTCGATTTTGGAAGAGAAGTCAAATTTGAACATCTTAATTTTTGTATCCTTACAAGCTATGGACACAAACAGCTGCAAATTACTTACTACAATTTGTGCAAAATCAAGTGAGCACCATACTGCGGTTGAATAGTTATGACTTCACGGGGTGCATGAGCATAAGATGGGGAGAGTTCAAAGGAGAAACGCTGGAGAACCATAGCTACTGCCAGTTTTGCCTCCACCATGGTAAAGTTTTGGCCAATGCATATGCGAGGTCCCCAACCAAATGGGAAGAACGCAACTTGCCCCTTCGTTGCATTTGAGACTCCATCAGCAAACCTCTCTGGCTTAAACTCCTCCACATCATTGCCCCATATTTCAGGGTCATGGTGCAACAAAATTGTTGGTAATGATAACAGCACTTGAGCTGGTAGATTTAAATTTCCCAACTGAATTTCTACAGCAGCTCTTCGAGCAATGGTAGCTGCTGGCGGATATAGTCTGAGAACTTCGTGTAGTATCATGGTGACCTATTACAGATGATAAACCACTCAGATTCCCCACTAAAGCTCTCCATAGCACCATTTTAAGAGTATCTGTTCTTGAGACCTCACTGGACAAGATTATTGCATAGAGTTTTGTTCTAATATTGAAGATTGAAAGCAAATAAAGATTAGTCAAAAGTAAATTAAGATCTATTTAGCAAAGCTACATTATATACATCCAAGTATTTTTTTTTCCTAAGCAAGAAACTATAGAGTGTACATATTCAAGAGTTTGAGGAGATTTTACATCTATGGTACGATGTGTATGAGATAAAAAAGTGATTCAGAAATGTGTTCACAGAAAATATAAAAATTTTTAAGGAAAAGTTTCAAAAAATGTTGTTGGCTTAGATGTCTCGTGCCAAATGGCAGATCATACATTTCTTCTTTGCAAGGAATAAATAGGTAGAAATTAAAAAAAAAAAAAAAACTTATCTGGTGATTAACCAAAATTTTGTTGTCAAATACCACAGAAATAAAAGAAAAACATTGAAATCTAAAGAGAATTACTTATTTGTAATTGAGGATCATCCCATATGTTATCATCATTCTCAGGTACCAACCCTTTGGCTCTGGTCCAATTCCTAACCTACAAGGCTTCCATTAAAGATATTTAATCGACAGAAACAATAAGTATTAATCCCACGGACGTTTTATAGTAAGCTGAATATTCAGTATTCACATTCTGCTGGATTTGCTGAACTATGCAAATATTCACAGAGCAACTGTAAAAGCATTAGAATATCACAATGATACAACGATATATGTAAATTGTAAATAGTACTTACCAATTTTAGGTGATTTAACCCTTCAAAATCAGGCTTGTTAGTCCCAAAGTGTTGCAAAACTTCTTCTCTAGCCCGCGCTTGCCAGTTTGGATACCTACTCAATAAGATCATTGTCCATACAAGCAGCACTGAGGTGGTCTCCTGCCCCGCAAAATAGAACAGCTTGCATTCATCAATAACTTCTTTAATAGTCATGCCAAAATCCTTGTTGCCGTGATTATCAATTTCTTTAGAATTGGATTCGAGTAATATACCCAATAAGTCATCAGCACATGCTTCCCCTTCTTTCATTGCCTTCAATCTTGCATTTATAATTTCTCTAATAGATTCTTGAACATCTTTAGCAATTTGTTTCATTCTTCTATTTCTTTTTGTTGGCAAAAACCTGCAAAGAACATAGTTTCACAAACAAGCGACAAAAGATTATATATCGAACTTCATTTACTGGGTAAAGGGATCTTTTCCAAACAATAACATTGAGTTTAGAAGTCAAAAGCTTCTTTAGAACAGAGAAGGCAGTGAGTTAACAAAATTTACCTCCATCCTGGAATGTATATTGATTCTCTAGCCTTTAGGAAATGTTCAGACTGTTCTCTTTGAAGTTCAAATATCCTTTTTCCTTCTTTATAGTTACTTCCAAATGCCGTCCGTGAAATTGCATCAGAAGTCAGAGCTTGAAGATCCGGCCAAACATCCAACTCACAGGAGCCATTGGTTGAAACAATCTCCTCCCATTTACCCAACATCTCACTAGTGCTTGCATAAAATGATGGGACCATTTGCTACAGGCAAGAACACGGGAAAACGAAAAAGAGGTCATGTACAATGCTATTCCTCCAGTAAGAATTCTCAGTTCATTTTGTCAACTAGGTATCATAGTTGTTTTCGCTTTTCCTGTAATCAGATACTTTACCACTTCATCACAGGGAAATCATTCGTTCCAATGAACTAATCAAGGTTTCCAAGGTTTCTGGTATGACAACCTTACCTTGTAGATCTTATAAAAGATGAAGAGATAATTCATTAAATACCGAGATAAAATGAGAGAGAACCTTCAATTTCTCCACATTGAAAGCGGGATTGATGAGTTTTCTGTGTTTAGCCCATTTATCTCCATCATAGCTCACCAGCCCTTGTGTCAGCAATTTGGTAAGTGGATTAGCACGAGGCTTTTGAAAGATGTAAATCTTTGTTGTGATCTCCCTTATGTGTTCAGGGTTCATGATCATCACTATCGGTTTTGGTCCAAGCCACATGTATGAATTCTTACCTGAGAGTCATTCACCACTTGTTTCAACTCAAGATTGAACAAACATCTTAAATCAATCAAGGGTACTTAGTACCACTATCTTTATCCGTTTCTTTTATTATTTGACAAGATGGATATATTGAAACCAAGATACTGGAGGGTACTTGACCTTATGAACTCCTGCCAGTACCTGAAAATCAGACAGTAATGTATACAACAAGCACGATTGAAACAATTGCATTACTAACAATTCACAGTAGATAAATTGGGCTCCTTGGATGAATTATGATCATAATATTTAATTCTGATCATCTTAACCAATCACTCAGGAGGATATAAAGGCCTCATTTATTTTTGAATACTCAGTATTGCTATCTATTTGATTCACCATGTTTGAGGTTTACATTAATCATGAGAAGATTGAGGCTTCCTGTAGTGCTACAGTATCATTGAGTTTAAACTCTTGAGACTGGAAAGTTGACAAGCAACCTAATTTAGAATAACTTGTCCAGATTAGCACATCCTCCCATTTGTATTCATATGCCAAGGTCCAACTCTCTCTTGTTGCTCCAATTTGCATTTATTCTGCAATCTCCTTCATGTACTCAAAACAGGGGGAAAAGAAAATTTCTTGCTAGAAACAGCTGTCTCATTTACTGAATATTGAAAACAGATTAGTATCCACTAGTCCAAAAAAGTTTCCTCCAACCTCAAATATGAACTGGTACTCGTAACTAAGGAAGAAAGAAAGAAAGAAAGGACAAGGCAAGATAAAAAGCCAATGAAAATGGAAAAAGAAAAGGAAATCAATCCTCACAGCGTAAGGACAAGATTGCATTATTTGCCATATCAAGACAAGATAGAACTATCCGTATGAAATGCTTCCAGACTGATGGCGATATTTTGGGGGGACAAAGGTGTAAAGCTGTAATGAATTGTCACGTTGTACGTGTGAAACTTTGAAAGTACCAAATTAAGGGCCTTAACAATTATCCCTTTTAATTATTTGAGATACTGTAAGCACTACAATAACAGATGTAAACGCCAAAGGAATTATATACAAAGATGCCAACACAGCAACATGTCATGTTCACAAGAGGCACGGTATACTAAATCTCTGCCTCACATTCAAAATAGAACGATCTGTGGCATATCTTCTCTGGTATAATTACATTTAACAATCGTTGAGAATCCCTCTTGAAACTTCCTAAATGGTCCTTTAACTACAATAGATGATTAACTATGACTTAAAGAAAATATATATATACACACACACAAAATTAACAGAAGAAATCTTGAAAGGTAAAGTGAAATCATTGAAGAAATCCATGAACACTTGCAAAGAAAGCATCGGATGATTGAAAAAGAAGATACTACCACTTACCATACTTCTTGACAACTGCACAGAAGTGGGGAATAACTCTTGGGACGAAGTCGCCAGAGAGATTGATTGGCTTGGAGTGAGCTTCCTTGAAAAGGGTTGAGTTCTCTTTGAAGTCTCCATAGAGAAGTTTGTAAGGATTTCCTCTGAGACCTTGCTCTTTGAGACGCTTTTCTAGCTTCTTGGGAGTTAACCACGCCCAGTTGAATACTTTCCACGCAAGCACTAAAATCAAGAGCAGAATACAATAACAGAATACAGCAATTGGGCTGCATGCTGTTTCCATTACAGAGGTTAAAGGTCTATTGTGATCATTTGGTCTTGCATTCATATTTATACCGGCAAGGCCAAGAATTCAGTTTTAGAGCAAGTTAATCTTTAGTCCCTAGTTGTAGAAGGGTTTTTTAGTTACCACCTTTCTAGAAGTCCAAAATCTTAATTCCTTTTTTGTAGATTTTTTATTTATTTTAATTCCTAAAATGTAATGAGTTGATTGCAAAATCATGATTATAGACTATATTCTCATCATTTCAAAATTTAAATTATTTCAAATCCTAACAACTTGATGATACACAAACTTTAAAATTTGAGAGGAAAAAGGAATTTTTTTATCCACATTTATTTTTGGTTATATATTTACCTTAATTTAAAATTACTATTGTGAATTCTTTTTTCTTTATCTCCAAGAGACTTTTGACTTCTGCATGTATTATTTATGTTTTCTAATATTTATGTTTCTATATAAACTGCAGAATTTTTAGTTAGAAGCCTTCTTAAACCTCCATAATTTCAATTCCTTTTTCATATATTTTCTCTTTATTTTAATTCCTAAAATGCAATGTCAGTTCCTTTGTTTTAATAGATTTTCTACTCATCTTTATTCCTAGAGTGTAATGAGTTGATTTCAAAATCTTGATTCATTGTAGACTATATTCTAATCATTTCAAAATTTTACAATTCAAATTATTTCAAATCCAAACATGATACACTCAACTTTAACATTTGAGTGGGAAAAGGGAGCTTTCATTATGTATTATCCTAATCTAAAATTACTATTTGCAAATTTTTTTCTTTATCTCTAAGATCGACTTTGGTTTCTACATGTATTATTTGTATTTTCTAATATCTATATCTATATCTATATAAATTACAGAAGGTTTTTCAGTTAGAAGCCTTCTTAGATCTCTAAACTCTCAATTCCATTTTTGTAGATTTTCTATTTATTTTAATTCCTAAAATGTAATGATTTAATTTCAAAATCTTGATTCTAAACTATATTCTCATGATTTCAAAATTAAATTATTTCCAATCCCATAACTTGATGGCACACACTACTTTAATACTTGAGAGGAAAAAGAGATTTCCTGATGCATATGTATTTTTGGTTGCGTATTATCCTAATCAAAAATTACTTTTGAGAATTCTTTTTTCTTTATCTCCAAGATCCACTTTAGTTTTTACATATATTATTTGTGTTTTCTGATATCTATATCTATATAAATTGCAAAAAGACCTTTTAGTTGAAGCCATCCTAGATCTCCAAACTCTCAATTCCTTTTCTGCAGATTTTCTATTTATTTTAATTCCTAAAATGTAATGAGTTGATTGCAAAATCCTTGATTTTAGACTATATTCTCATCATTTCAAAATTTAAATTATTTCCAATCTGGATAACTTGATGGCACACACTACTTTAATACTTGAAAGGAAAAAGAGATTTTCTGATCCATATGTATTCTTGGTTGTGTATTATCCTAATAAAAAATTAATATTGTGAATTCTTTTTTCTTTATTTCCAAGATCCACTTTAGTTTTTACATATATTATTTGTGGTTTCTAATAGCTATATATATATATATCGATATATCTATATCTAAATCTATATAAATTTAAGAAGGGATTTTTAACAACAAGCTTCTACATACCTTCACACTCTCAATTCCATTTTTCTAGCATTTTACATTTAATTTATTTCGTAAAATACATCATGTCCTTGTTTTCATCAAATAAGAATACCATTCCAACTAACACTCCTCCCCTCATACACCTTCTCACTCCAATTAATACTCCTCCAATTAACAATTCCATTCCAATTAAAACTCCTCTAACCCAATAATACGAGATAACAACATAATTTCACAAACAACTGCAATTTACCATCTCTTTCAACTTCCTTCTAGAGAGAATGAGGAACAGGCACTAAATTGTGGAGATATGGAGAGGGAATGAGTCAAATGTGAGACCACCATTGGGTTTATATTCCGTTTCTTGATCTCTGAATTAAATAAATAATTAAGCTAACAATCTTACAAGGAAAATAAGGAATAGAAAATGCAATTTGTCTAACATGAGAAATAGGGTAAAACACATAATACTATAAAAATCTATATCTATAGGTATTGTAGGTAGGGTTTTTTGGATGATTAAATCAGAATGCTTATAACTCCTCATTATTTTTTTTATAGAATTTTAAATTTTTTAATTGTTATATATTTTTCATGTCTTTTGAAATTAAAAGTAAGAAGTGGCTCACTTATATAGGAATTTGATTTGAAATCTATTAATGTAAGGATAAATAAAGAGGAAAACCACCAACCTTACTAAAAGTAAAAAAGTAAATAACAATATTTTATTTTTCAACTCAGTAATCCTAAGTAAAATGGCAAATTATATAGAAAACAAAAAGAAAATAATATTCATTGGTCATGGATTTAAAATATCAATAATAGTACCATTTGTGAATCCTAAATTATGAAATTACTAAATAGAAAACAAAGTACTACTAACCTAAAAAATAAATTATGAATTTATAGGGTTTGAGAGAATGGTGAAGGGAAAAGAATAGAAAATTGGGTGGCAAAAATAGAAAGTTATAGGTTAGCTATAAACGAGAGAAAGAGAATAGCAAGAAGTTAAAGAGTGGTGGGAAAAGTCGAAAAATAAAGGTAAATTACTACAAGATTGGACAAAGAGAGGGGAAAAAAAGAATGGAATTGTAGGGATATGACAGGAAAGATGGCACCGTGGTAAGAGGTCTAAAAGTCATAGAAGGCAACGGAGAGCTAATTAGCAGGTAAGAGAAGATAGAAAGAGTGATAGCTTTTAATAATTTTGAAAAATTTGAAACACATCTTACAAAGATTATTTTAAATATATATTAAAATTTATGAAGAACATTATTCTATAAGCACTCAACAATTTTAGTATTACAAAATGAGAGAAAAGTTTTTTTAAAATTGAGGAAAATGAATTAGTTGTACTTTGTATTTTTAATGTTAAAAATTATGATATATGGGTATAACATGATATATTGATAAATAAGTTTACAATTGCTCTATCATATAATCGTTATAAATTATATTATTTTATTAAAATTGTTATCATATATTGACAAACAATAGGTTAACAAAATTTGGTTTCAACTTATTTAAGATATTAAAATTAAGAAAGTCCATTTTGAACATATGAAATAATTTTTTTAACATGTTAAGCATACACTTCTTTGAATTTTTTTGTCTTTTTATATAATTTATCTTATACTATAATATTTAAGTATTGTTTTGAATTGAAATATAAATCCATGCATAGCACGGGTCAGAATGCTAGTATATATAAATTGCAAAGGGGCCTTTTAGTTGAAGCCATCATAGACCTCCAAACTCTCAATTCCTTTTTTTCCAGATTTTATATTTATTTTAATTCCTAAAATGCAATGAATTGATTGCAAAATCTTGATTTTAGACTATATTCTCATCATTTCAAAATTTAAATTATTTCAAATCCTAATAACTTGATGACACACACAACTTTAACATTTTAGAGGAAAAAGGGAATTTCTAATCCATGTAATTTTGGTTATGTATTATCATAATCTAAAATTACTATTGTCAATTCTTTATTCTTTATCTCCAAGATCAGCTTTGGTTTCTACATGTATTATTTGTGTTTTTAATATCTATATCTATATAAATTGCAGAGGGACGTTTTAGTTAGAAGCCTTCCTAGACCTCCAAACTCTCAATTACTTTTTCTTCAATTTTCTATTTATTTAATTCCTAAAATGTAATGTCAATTCCTTTTCTGGAGATTTTCTATTTATTTTAATTCATAAAATGCAATGAGTTGATTTTAAAATCTTGATTATAGACTATATTCTCATCATTTCAAAAGTTAAATTATTTCAAATCCTAAAAACATGATGATACACACGACTTTAATGTTTAAGAGGAAAAAGAATTTTTTTTTGACATGTATTTTTAGCTATGTATTATCCTAATCTAAATTACTATTGTGAATTCTTTTTCCTTTATCTCTCATATCCTCTTTGGTTTCTA